TTTTATTTAGAAAAGGTTCTCACAAGAAAAAAATGTTGTTTAACACACCCTGCAATACTGTTAATTGTCTCTCACACTACACTCCAATACACCGACTTTTATGGTGTGGGGCTATGACTTTGGTCAATGAGAGTTTTTTGCAATACATTTAGGGTAGCCCGGTGGAGCAATTCCCACTGAATGCCCTTAAAGTTTGGATTTTATCCAAACGTCTGAACAGCCAAAATTTTGTCTGAATTTAGTAACTAAATAAACTCTAAGTTCATCCCTAATCTTCAATATAGATACAGACAGCCATAATAACTTGACAGAGGTTTCTGTCTCTTTCCCTATTTCCAAAAAAAAAAAAAAACACAGAAAGCACAAAAGGGATAGAACCTCTGCCAGGATTTTAATGTCTGTGTTGCTGTTGGGGAAATTTTTTTTTTTGCTTGGAACCACTTGCCCTTTGACCTCTATAAAACTCTGACTTTTAGACAACTGCTACACAGATCTGAATTACTTACCCTTCCAACCTATCCAAAACTTTGTAAAAAGTGCAAATGTATCTAAAGCATAACTCTAATTTTTTATTCACACAGCACAAAATGGCAAATTCTATGTTACCCTATTATTTGTCATGCAAATTTTCATACACTTTAGCAGAAGAGGGGAGGAAGAAAGAAGAAGATGCTGGGTGTCTGGTGCCAGTTTAGCAGTGATCATCCACTCCTTCCAGTGTTCCTCTCAGATGCAGTCCCTTACTGCAAGCCAGCTGGCAGCTGCTGATCACTGTGGAGATCCAGCCCTTCTCTTGCCATTCATCAGCAGACACGGAGCTGCCCCTGTGGAGGAAGCTAATGTCTGACTCTGATGTTTCGTGTCTATGTGAGTGTGACCCGGCCTGCCAACCATCACATGTACCAGTGAGTGATGACATCATCGCGATTCCCCAGCCTGCTCTTTTAGTGCCTGCTGGGCCTGCTGATCTGTGTCACTGGTGCTGTGTTGTGTCGGATCTGTCACTGTGTGGGATCACTCAGTTCAGGTGTTCTCTGTGTGTGTGTGTGTGTGTGTGGGCTGGGTTGCCTGCTGTCACAGTGTTTTATCTCCCCCCATTGCCTGGGGATTTCCATCCTGGGATCTGTCAGAGTGTGGATCCATCATCCTCCACTCACTGCAACTGTCACCCTGCCACTGCCAGCCACAGATACAGTCCGTCCGTGACACTGATTTTATTGGTGCTGGTGACATCTTATGGTACTTATTTTTGCAAAATAAAAGAAATTTAGCAGTTTCATGTTTTGTTGATATATTATTTTCAACTGTTTTTTAAAATTTTTTAGGGGGGCACAAGTAGCTGGTCTTGCCTAGGGTGCAAAATGGTCTAGCACTGGTCCTGATGGGATTATATAAATTGTCCATACACTGCTGGGGAGGTGAGGAGTTAGACAGCCTATGTGAGCAGAAGTGTGCTCTGTAGTTCTGTACAGAATCCTGGGATATGTTGATTGGGAAGCCCGTGCACCTGTGAGCCATATGAGAATCCCTGCCTGTGTGGGCGGCATTGTGGAGATAGGAGTCGGGTGACGGTGGCGGAAGCCCAGAAGCTGCAAGACATCCGTGTTCTGTGCAGGTGGTCATGTGGAAGGGGAGCAGGAGATGGAAGGTGGTGGAGTGACCGGCGTGTGGCCCTTGGAAGTGTGACTGGCGTACTTGTCCCGCTGGCCGTCCCCGCTGGCTGTGAAAGCGCTGGGGAAGAAAGGATCATACTAAGGATGTACTACCAGTTACACTAGAAAATGACAAGGAGGAAAGAAGGAAGTGAGATGGCTGGTCGACTCTCACAGCAAGGTAATGGAACTCCTAAGCAATGACAAGGGAGAGACAAACATAGAGAAGCAGCGGCTAAATTGAGTAAGTACACTCATACTCCCTCTAAAATACCATCTGAGGCCCCTCCAACAGAAACAGCAACTTTATTTGTGCCACAGAGGAATGGAGAGGAGGAGGAGGATATGCAGCAGTTAACATTGAGAGACTCACATATGGAGGGACCCCTGCTTTGGTCAGTGAAAACAACGTAGAGAGTACAATACAACAAGTGACTCTGGGCCTGCTGGGTGAGGTGGAGGGCAATACAGGGGTAAAGGACTCAGAACCTACATTGAAAGATATACTAACGGCTGCACATACATACGGGACTTCATTGAATCAAGTAATGGTTGAAGTAAGAGGTATAAGGGAATAAATTATTTGGATTCGGCAAGGTATGCAAAGATATGACTCCTGTAAAGCAGGATGTTCGAAACACCAATATGAAAATATTGGATACCGCCGCCTGGTTGGAAGACATTGACAATCGATTGAGGCAGAATAATCTAAGGGTAGTTGGTGTTCCGGAAAAGGCAGAGGGGAAAAATCAAATAGAGTTTATTGAGAACTGGCTTGTGACTGTAGTTGGGAAGAAAAAATGTACCCCATATTTTTCAGTGGAGCAAGCCCATAGAGTTCCATTCCGTGCCCCGCCTCCAGGAGGCCCTGCAAGACCTTTCCTGCTTAAAATGTTGAATTTTAAGGACAGAGATAATATACTACAAATGGCTAGACAAAAAACAGGGTAAGAAGGTACAAGAGTGGCAATTTTCCCTGATTTTTCAGCTGACGTGCAACATAGGCTGTCTAGGTATGTGGAAATAATGTGTCGCTTGAGAGAGTTAAATGTACCTTATGGAATGCTTTATCCAGCAAAGCTTAGAATTATAATGGATGGAAGAACATTTCACTTTGATTCTCCAAAAGAGGCTACAGAATGGATCGACAAGAATGAAGAGCGGCTTAGACATGCTAGTGGATGAGGGGGTTCAGGGCTCCCTAAAATAATAATAATAATACGGGACTACAAAAGGAATTGAGAGTTGGTTTAAGTTAAATAGACCTGGCCAATGGGGTTAAGAATGACGATGTATGGGTGCTACATTTTGTATTTCCCTGTTTGTACCTGCGGGATTATTAGTGGGGTAGAATGCGCTGTCAGAGCTTGAGGTGTGTGTTTATGGGTAGGATGTATTTCTTGTCTCTAGGGAACTTATCAAAAGTAAAAGATCATTGCCATGGTAAAAGGGGTTTAGTGGAAGTAAAATAGGACTATCCATATTTATGGATCATATCTTGCATAATATAGGGATATTGAATGTGATATGTATCTGGCTGTATGACTGTAGGTAAGAATAGTATAATGTCCTGGTATGTAAGGGGTTTGCACAATACTAGCAAACGCATGGCTATATTTAATACTATAGGGTATTATAATCCAGCAATCATATGTTTGCAGAAAATGCATTTAACAAAAGAGAGAGAAACATTTTTGAAAAGGACAAAATATCCGTTACAATATCACTCGATAAATTAGGAAGGTATATATTTTTATTATGTAACTGGGATTCTAATATATGTATTTTGGCAAATATATACAGTATGTACCCCCTCCATCTGGTATGGAGGTGCTGTTCCATTTTATTACTAATTACCCCTTAGTTCCACTTATTGTAGTGGGAGATTTTAATAATATTTTGGATCCCACATTAGATATATTTAAATTTTTTAAACCAATGGGCCCAAGAGGACAAACTCCATTTGCCCACCTTATGTTGGAGGTAGGGCTTAAGGATCTTTGAAGGCATTGTTATCCCTTGATGGAATTGTTATCCCTTGGAACCACAATACTCCTGTTTTTCACAGACACGCTTGTCACTATCACAAATTGATTTTGTATTTGGTAATAATTTAGTTTTTTCTTTTTTACCACAGTTTAAATATATTACATAGGGATTATCAGATCATTCACCTGTTTTTTTATCAATGAATGTTGGAGCACAAAAGAATAGAGGGATATGGAAATTAAATAATTTTTGGATTCCACTATTTAAGAATAAAAACAATATAGGTTTACACATTAAAACAATTTTTTTTAGAGAACAGGGAGACAGCATTTCCATTCTTAATGAAAAAATAGCAGCATCCCTCAAAGACTCCATTTCTAAGTTCAAGCAAATTTGGTCACCTTTGATCGAACATTATCTCATGCCTGATTTTGTTTTTATGTTGTTTGAACTTTGACAAAGTAGTTGTTTACCCCAACAATAAAGTGTTGAAGTTCCAACCCCAACCCTAACCATCTGCCACCCCCCTTTTGTCTCTAATTTTCCTCCCTAAAACCCTCTACAAATCTTAACCCTCTTCATTTTTTTTTCAATCTGATCTATCATTTGTGTCTACCTTTTATTTTAGATGAGAAGCAGCTGATCTCTAGGGTGAACTCCTTCTTCTCTCTTTTACCTCTTTCAGGAACTATTCAGTTTAGACTAAAGCCGGCCATAGGCGGTTCGAATCTTCGCTGGTTTATCAGGAAGCGGCTGAGGATCAAACCATGTATGGGCAGGCTAGATGTATCCAAATTGATCGATCGATCAACTTGGGTACAACCAGCCTGCTGGATTTTACATGCAATAACTGCTAGCTGTTATAGCCGCTAGCAAGAGGGTTTCCCCTGTCAACAATGTCTGGGTTGATGGGGGAAGCAAACAAAATTCTTTCCTGCAACCCGTGGTTGCAGGAAAGAAATTCGCTCCTTCTATGGCCAGCCTAACTGGCAGTTGGAACCTGGGAGACAGATCCTGCAGTGCTCTGTGCTGGCAGAGCTAAGTAACAGCCATGCCCCTCTTCACATTGGAATTTAATTTGTGGTTAATTAGACACTTTTACATGGCACTCCTTAAGATTTTCATCATCCCTACCTACAACTGTATAAATGATTTTCCTCCTCCCAAGTTTTCCATCTGTTTAGAGACTTTGCAGGGAGTGCAAAAAGATGTAAATACTGGTAAAGGTACTAGAAAAAAAAATATTTCTGCTCACAAAGAGTACTGGGATATAGTTACAAATTGGCAATGTGTTAATTATTACTGCAATTTTAGAGACACAATTTTCACCTCTGTGGGTAACTATATGCTTCCACCTACCTGAATAAGCTGCTGTTTGAGTTTTTGCATTTCTGATATATTCAACTCACTGAAGAGGTCAGAGACTGGATGATGTGACTCCCCCTTGCGAACTGCCTGAGTCCGATAATCCCCATTTATTTTGACAAGAGGGGTATGAATGTGTCCATTCATCTTTTCCTCGTTGTTAGCCTCTCCATCTTCTGAGAACTTCAATCCATCCACAGCAATGTTGATGTGGTTGTTGTACATACTGTCATTGATGTTGATGTACTGTGCTAGCTCTTTCCTCAGGTTGTTCTTCTGCTCACGCTCATTCTTCAGTGTATCCAGAGCTTCTTCCAGTTGATGTTCTGCTATTTCCTTTAGCCGAATAGCATCCTCCAGCTGACTATTTAGGAGCACCGTTTCTTCCTCAAAGCGCTTGATCTCATGTTTCAGGCCTTCATATTCAACCTATATCAGACAATACAACATGAAAAACATGAAATGTAGGAAAGAGCAGTGTGCCATTACCACACATGTTTTTTAAGGAAATGTCACCCTTAAATCTATTTATTTCTGTTCTCTTTCTTTTAAAGAACTGTACCAAGCAAATTCTTGCATGGTGCCCTATGCATTGGTGGGCATGGTGAAAGATGGATGTTCCTAAAGGACTTGATTTATTATGACACATCTTTTCATACCTTCATTGCCAGCTTCCTTTACAGTATTGGCATTTGTTCATACAGTATTTCAAAGCTGCAAAGAAAGTCAGTGCTGGAAGACTTCCTTCTCGTAGACTTTCTCATCACAGGTCTGAATCGGGAGGACATAGCTATATACTGTAATACCCACTAACTGCCCTACTGCCCTGATCAATGTTTGAATGGTGAAGTATCTCAACTTGGGGCCACCAGCCACATATTTTATTAGTACTGGCCCAGGGAGAAAACGCCTCCCAGCCCAGGCCTCCAAACTCTAACAACACTACAACCTGATAACCTTGCAAGCACTGGATCAAAAGCTGGAAGAGGAGTAATCTCTAAGTTGTTAGGTTGCAAGAATAAATGGTATCACACAACCCATGCAGGATGAAACATTATGAAGCTGGAGAGATTTTTGCTTATTCTTGTCAACCTACTGCAATTTTTATAAGCTAAAGGTTTTCTAGCAAGGGCAACAAGACTCTTTAAGACACAGGTTTTTAACATGATTATAAACCCATATTTTGTTTCTTTAAAATAACAAACATGTTATACTTACCTGCTCTATGCAATGATTTTGTACAGAACAGCCCTGATCCTCCTCTCCTCAGGTCCCCCAGCGACACTCCTGGCTCCTACCCCCAGCCAAGTGCCCACCATAGTAATCTGCTTGCTATGCTGGCACTCATGCAGACTCACTCCTGAGCCAACTCTGTGTGTCCATAGACACACAGAGGCCTGCTCAGCCCCATCCCCCGCTCCCTCGTCACTGGCTGTGATTGACAGCAGCGGGAACCAATGGCTCCTAGGAGGAGGGAAAGAGTCGAAAGACCGAGAGAGCAACTGCTCTTGTGCATAGAGCTGGATGAAGATTGGGATCAGTAAAGTATAAGGGGGGGGGACTGGGGGGGGGGGTAGCTGCACACAAAAGGTTTTTTTTTACCTTAAGAGCCTTTAGAACTACTTTAACAGGAGTTATCCATACTCATAACCAAAAAATACAATTTTAGGACTAGGATTTTGAAATTTTTTTCAAAAATTAAAAACCAGCAGCTGGACCTCCATTTTTTTGTTTTGATTTAAAAAACATAACGGCAAAATTCTCATTGGCTGCATTTCAGCTCATCTGTACCTAGTTATCCATATGTAAAGGAGAACTAAGCTATTGACCTCAGTCATACTGCTACCCAATAGGTGATGATGATTTTGGTGTAAAAAACCAGGGCTTTGGTTTGTGAAATTGTTATAAATATGCATTTGCACATATTAAATGCACGTTTTTTTTCTTCTGACAATGGGTTGTTTAGTAATCATCTCTGGTTCCTCTGTCTCTACATTGCAAACCAAGGAAAAAGTAGCAAGTGTCTGTGGTGTTTTGTAAATTGCCCCCAAAGGTACCTACATTTTTCCTTGATGAGATGGCCAGAGCATTGAAAATAACCAACAAACACCAAGATAATTCTCATGGGAAATTTTCTTTGTGAAATTAGATGTTGTTTCTTTTTTTCAGACAAAGAAACAATTTCAGGGTCAAACGCATAGATTATGTCTTCAAATGATAATTATTCTACATTTCTTAGTGTTCTCATGAGAAAAAGGCTTACAGTGTATGAAAAAAAACTAACAATTAACTCCTCTTATTTGCTTCTTTTGTTTGGTCTGTTAAATATACACATTTTAAAAAGCATTTTGTACATCTGTTTGATAACTGAAAAGAAAACCTGTTGATTCTGCCAGAAATACAGTGCTGTCCTACATTCTGTGCACTCTGCAAAGTCATTTAAGGGGTCTTATTAAACCTGCCCAGGTTATGTCTGTGAACTAGAGCACCTAACCCAGCTACATTATGTGGAAAAGGAGAGAGGGGGATGTTCTGAAGCTCTAATACAATTTGTCTTTGGGCGACGACATTCATCCTTTATAAACCCAGTGAGTAAACGTTGTCACCGTAGCACAGCAAGTGTGTTTCTGGCAGAACCACCAGATGACATTAAAGGAAAAAAAGCCAGATAAACAAAAATGCAGCTATCACATCTAAGGACTAGAAGCTGCAATGTATTAGGCTCCATGTACACGGGACACTTCTGAACGATGGAAACTGACTGCTGGAAAACGTTGGTTAAAAAACGTCTGTTTAGCCATGTTTGCATACCGCGTTTATGCACATTTATGAGCGTTTGCATTTAGAAGCATTTTTTAAAGATAACCTCAGGAGACCTTCCAAAATGCCCAGACTGCACTGAAAAACAGTAAAAAATTAACTATTTCAGACATTTTGAGAGAAAAAGAGAGAGCAGAAGCAGAGAGTGCAGTATTTGAGATTAGCTGTCTTTTTTTGTGTGGTGTTTGGAAGTGTTCCAGCTCATTTCTGTGCAGAAATTATTGCAGCAGTGTCCAACATATTTTCTTTCATGTGAAACCTCAAAGTATGGTGTACCAGATCCATTTAAGTACCGGGAAAACGCTTTGCATGTATTTTTCATGATGAAAAAAGGTTCTGGACAACATCTGGAAATGGAAGCGTTAAAAAAAATTTCCAAATGCAAACGCTTATAAACGTGGTTAGCCACGTTTACAAGCATTTGGCAATTGAAGCGCTGATAAAATCTCCTGAATGCAAGTTTGGTGCGTTCAAAAAAATGACTGTAAACTCAACTGCCTGTAAACGACTGTAAACGACATACGGTACATGGACACATAGGAAAACATTAGAGAGAGTTCAGGGGCTGATGAAAAAAACTCAGAAAAGCTCCTAAACGTGAGTTTTACATACACTTTAAGAGATCAAAACTATAACTTTCTTCTTACTGAAAAGATAAGTATAAAGCCTCTTTTTAGAGAGTGTGTAAGGTTAATTTTACTAGTGTAACGATTTGGCCTTTTGATTCCTAACGAATATATATCTGCATGAATTTATGTTTTAAAAATCTCCTGCGTTCAGCTTTAAACTTACAAATGTAAAATGTAAAAAAATGCAGCTGTAGTATAATGATCTAATGAAGAATATGTTCTAAGAGAATCTTTTGTTAAAAACCAGAAATAATTGGACAGTTTATAAAGTCTCTTGAGGAAGGAGAACACCCTGGAGGCACAAATACTAGTTTTGGAGTGAAATCGGATATACCTTCTAATTAAACTCTTGTGTTGTTTTAAGACTATTTATCTGGAGAAGATATGCACATGTGACTAACTCAGAATGTCTCCATAGAATGATGACATGCATGAAGTCTTGGCTTTCTTTATTATCAATCACATATCAGTAATATAATCAGAAAGTCAATAAAAAAAGAGTGTAATATTGATGCTTTTAATAAATGGTTTAGCCAGCTTTTGTCAGACAGGCTGGCCAGTTTCTATTGAACTAGTACTGGCCGATATTCTCTGTGAACAGAGCTTTAGACAGATGTCACTGAAACAAGAGTTATCCTTGGAAGGTATCCTTTTTATTACTGCTCTGCTCACATCTCAAAATGTTCACAAGTGTGCTTCTGCTCTATTCTCATTACAGGATAAGTTCACCTTTTTTTAAAAAAAAAAAAAAAAAAAATCTTTTGCAGGTAAAAGAATGCACATTTATTATTTTTTTTACTTGGAGATGTAAAGCATAGCACTCATGATTAGCATATTGCCATTCAGAACTCCTGCAGACTTGCCAGTGTATTTGTCTGCTTGTACCTTGTACGGGTAAGCAGATACACACTAACAGGAAGAGAGAATGAACTACTACAGCCAGGGGCGGACTGACCATTTGGAAACTCAGGCACTGCCCGAGGGCCCGGGGTCAGTAGGGGGCCCCATGAGATGCCCCTGGTACCTTTTTCATGGGCTCTTTTGAGTTTGGGAAAGGACACAGGGGCCCCATGATCCCCTATTTCCTGGGGGCCCCATGAGTTGCCAGTCCGCCCCTGACCACAGCTCAACAGAACCGTGATAGTTCATTGAGAACTACAAGCCAACAGATGTTGGTACTTGTAGTTTCCCATTTACAGAATACTGTAAATGAATGACATTGTGACAGCTAATGGGGGGCACAAGATCCCCTGCTAGCTGTCACAAAAGGTGACTGGGGAGCAGCGGGGGCTGGTCCTACAGTAACATGTTACACCCTGAATATGGGTGTAATATGTACCATGTTACGAAAGGTGAACTTATCCTTTAATGCTGTAATACACCCGGGTGTGCTTATAGAGTGTCAACCGGTGACAGTTCTCATATAAGGATACTGTACCACACTATATATTATTATTATTTTATTATTATACAGTATTTATAAAGCGCCAAGAGTTCTCTCAGCGTTGTACATTACAAAGGGGGACAGAACAATACCAATACAATGCAAAACATGAGGGAATTGAGAGCCCTGCTCTTTCGAGCTTACAATCAGAATGTACCTGGTTTTGCTTCAGTGTCGAGACCAGTTTCTGTAAAGTTATGTTCTCTTCCTCCAGCTCGGTGTAGTCCTGGAGCAGTCTGGCCTCTCGGAACTTATACTCTCGGATCTCATCCTTCATTCGCATCCGCTGCAGCTCCAGAATTTCATTTGTCTGTAGGAAAGAACAAAATTATGCTAATATTATTAATATAATACTCATGACTCGGTCTTCATAATATGAAAAGCAACCTATGTTCATCAGAGACAGTTCCAGGATCCTAAAAGTGTGGAGCACTCCCTGATCACCAATCAGGGTAAAAATGGGGCATGATCAAATGTAGGTATGACCATAAAGTTGAAACCTCTGTATTAGTGCCAGAACTACCATGGTTGCAAAGGTCGCACTTGGGACTGGGCCCTGGTATTCCACTATTGTGGGGGGGGGGGGGGGGGGCAAGATTGCTGGCTGCAAGGCTTTGAGCTGAGAGTGTCTCTCTCATGCAGCTCAGAGCCAGCACTGACAGTCCTCACCCCCACTCAGTCGCACGGATGGGAGAAGGAGAGGGAGAGCCTGCCACTTGGCAGGGAGAAGAAAAGCAGCACGTGAGTGTGTGTTCAGGTAAGTAACCACTGAACACCAATAAAAGTAAGTTTATTTTTAATCCAAATGAACACCAGTTCAGTGTGTGTGGGTGGGGAGGGGGTATTTATTGCAAGCGTTTGACATTATGGTGGGATCCTCAGCCTTTTTAGGGTCTATAGAGAAAAAAGGATGCTGGTGTCATTTACAGTGCCATGAAAATGTACACTTGACATTTTCCACATTTTGTCATTTTATTGGGATTTTATGTGATAGACCAACACAAAGTGGCACATAATTGTGAAGTGGAAGAAAAATGATAAATGTTTTTCAACATTTTTTACAAATAAATATCTGAAAAGTGCTTTGAGCATTAGTATTCATCCCTCTTTATTTTGCTACCCCTAGCTAAATCTAATAGAACCAATTGCCTTCAAAAGTCACCTAATTAGTAAATAGAGTCCACCTGTGTGTCATTTAATCTCAGTATAAATACAGCTGTTCTGTGAAGCCCTCAGGAGGTTTGTTAGAGAACATTAGTGAACAAACAGCATCATGAAGGCCAAGGAACACACCAGACAGGTCAGGGATAAGGTTGTGGAGAAGTTTAACGCAAGGTTAGGTTATAAAAAAGTATCCCAAGCTTTGAACACCTCATGGAGCACTGTTCAATCCATCATCCAAAAATGGGAAGAGTATGGCAAAACTGCAAACCTACCAAGACATGGTCTTCCACCTAAACTGACAGGCCGGGCAAGGAGAGCAATAATCAGAGAAGCAGCCAAGAGGCTCATGGTAACTCTGGAGGAGCTGCAGAGATCCATAGCTCAGGTGGGAGAATCTGTCCACAGGACAAATATTAGTCGTGGACTCCACAAATCTGGCCTTTATGGAAGAATGGCAAGAAGAAATTAATTGTTGAAAGAAAGCCATAAGAAGTCCCGTTTGCAGTTTGCAAGAAGCCATGTGGGGGACACAGCAAATGTGGAAGAAGGTACCCTGGTCTGATGAGACCAAAATTGAACTTTTTGGAATAAAAGCAAAACACTATGTGTGGTGGAAAACTAACACTGCACATCACCCTGAACACACCATCCCCACCATGAAACATGGTGGTTGCAGCATCATGTTGTGAGGAGAGGATGCTTTTCTTCAGCAGGGACAGGAAAGCTGGTCAGAGTTGATGGGAAGATGGATGGAGCCAAATACAGGGCAATTTTATAAGAAAACCTGTTAGAGTCTGCAAAGACTTGAGACTGGGGCAGAGGTTCATCTTCCAGCAGGACAATGACCCTGAACATACAGCCAGAGCTACAATGGAATGGTTTAGATCAAAGCATATTCATGTGTTAGAATGGCCCAGTCAAAGTCTAGACCTAAATCCAATTGAGAATCTGAGGCAAGACATAAAAATTGCTGTTCACAGACGCTCTTCATCCAATCTCACAGAGATTGAGCTATTTTGCAAAGAAGATTGGGCAAAAATTTCCCTCTCTAGATGTGCAAAGCTGGTAGAGACATATCCAAAATTGCAGCGAAAGGTGGTTCTACAAAGTATTGACTCAGGGGGGCTGAATACAAATTCATGCCACACTTTTCAGATATTTATTTGTAAAAAATGTTGAAAACCATTTATCATTTTTTTCTTCCACTTCACAATTATGTGCCACTTTGTGTTGGTCTATCGCATGAAATCCCAATAAGACATATTTACGTTTTTGGTTGTAACATGACAAAATGGGGAAGATTTTAAGGTGTATGTATACTTTTTCAAGGCACTGTAGAACTGAGCTAGTGGGACAGACAGTCCTGCACAAAATTATTAAATGTAAATTAAAGCCATCCAGCATCTATACGGACAGATAACAAATGCTACATAAAACCTGTAATATAAACATTATTTGTAATGTCAATAGAACTTACTGAAGCAAGATATGTTACTGTAAAATTGTATGATTTCTCATAGGGCCTAGATTCCCAGTGCGGAAACTTTTCCCCCTTGATAAAAAATATATAACTTCTACAACAATGTCATTATCCTCACTATAATTTGTCTTCCAAAGTTGAATGCTGCAGTTTCTTAATTGATATCTGAAGTTCTAATTAAAGTAACACCTAAGTGTAGGTTACAAGGGGCACCTGGAAATTAAACTGTAGTAAGCTTCAGTGAACATTAGGGGGAACTGGAGTTCTGCAAGCTTTCATAATTGTTCATGCAGCATTGATCAAGTACATCATTTGATAGTATGGTCAGTGTATCAAAGACTTGTCATAATTGGGAAGCAATGGAAAAGTGTAGCAGAAACAACAAATATGATGGGATAAAAGTTTAAAGCTTTAAATGTAAAAAAATGACCCTGTTTGCTGACACATTTGAAAGCTTCCTTGAACCTTGCTGTTTGATTAGATAACCGATGGCGTAACTTTCTGGAGTTGAAAGGTCTCCTTGTGTGTTGCTTGCACCAGAATGGGCATCTATAGGGGCTGAAAAACTGCAAGTCCCAGCATGCATTTTATTGCAGGCTGACTGTGCCTGTATGATATACAGTGCATCCAGAAAGTATTCACAGCGCTTAACTTTTGACACATTTTATTATGTTACAGCCTTATTCCAAAATGGACTAAATTAATTTTTTTCCCTCAGCATTCTACAAACAATTCCCCATAATGATAATGTGAAAGAAGTTTATTTTGAAATCTTTGCAATTTCTTAAAAATAAAAAACAACAAAAAAAAAAAAAAAAACACATGTACATAAGTATTCACAGCCTTTGCTCAATACTTTGTTGAAGCACCTTTAGCACCAATTACAGCCTCAAGTCATTTTGAGTATGATGCTACAAGCTTGGCACACCTATTTTTGGGCAATTTCTCCCATTCTTCTTTGCAGTACCTCTCAAGCTCCATTAGGTTGGATGGGGAGATTTGGTGCACAGCCATTTTCAGATCTCTCTAGAGCTGTTCAATTGGGTTCAAGCCTGGGATCTGGCTGGGCCACTCCAGGACATTCACAGAGTTGGCCAGTGTAGCAATCATGCACACAGAAATGGATGGGAACCTTCATTTTGGCAAAGGACCATCCATCTTGTGTAATTATCTCTCTCTCCCTCTTTGCTCATCCCCCTCCCTCTCTGTTGAGTGATATGTGGTCGGTGTGTGTTATTAGAGACCACAGGCAGCATAGCTCAGTGGGAGGGCGTCAGAACTATAAAACCCCCCAGCCGAGCTGGTGCCTAGGTACCTATTAGCTCGCAATCTGGGATATCGTAAAAGTGTAAACCAAGCCCCTCACTGAACTTCAAAAGACCTTACAAAGGGTCGTAAAAACAGACTTACTTTTAAAAACTCACTTTTTCATATAAGTTGATATCTTCACGTAGGACATAATTACCTAAACATGGAGCCCATATTCGGATGGCTCAATTTGAGACCATTCTCCTGGTATGTTTCACCCCTTATCTGACACATCTAAGAGAGCAGAAAATTGTATCTCCTGAACCATTCAAGTAAATGTCATATTTCATATGTAGACATTCAGCAGACGATTCTGCGTGTTAATCTACCTGTGGGTGGAATGTTACATGTATGTAGGAAAAGTTATGGGCCAAAATATAAGCTACAAGGAATTTTTGTTCTAGCTTGGGCCTCCGCCCCAACACCCCTCCCCAAATGAGGCGATTGGTGCTCTGCTGTAAGGAGACACCCTGCTGAGATCCTAGAAAAAGGCTGTTATGCTTGGAGTTGTGTGTGTGTGTGAGAGTTGAAGAGTCTCCCTTTAACATTGAAACTAACAGCGGGAGATCAAAGCATCCTTTTGGCTCTGAAACTTGGAAGCTGCTTAACCCAGGACATGTGGCAAGTACTTTAACCCTCTAACTTCTCTCTGTTATCTCTTTGCTGTGCTATTGTTCTCTGTATATTTATATATATATATATATATTAGCTACATATTTTTCTGTAAATATTTTTATTGCACCCATTTGACCTTTTAGTAATAAATCTTACTTTCTGAAAGTGTTGAACTGTTTCTAACGCCTTTAATGCAAACTACGAATGCCTGCCTCTAAAGAACGCTACTGTGTGTGTGTTTTAAACTTCGGTATATCTCTGCCTGCGGTGACAGTGGTATACAGACGATTATTCAAACATCATAGTGTATTGCTAATATTGCTGAATTTCCTCTTTCTCTGTACAAAAAGGAGGTGGTGGCAGTGTGAAGGGTTAATTGCGTAATTAACCTGACCCAGTAACAATCGCTTCCAGGCTGCCGGTACACAGACCGTGGTCCATTAGCTGGAAAATCTGTGTGCAGGGTGCAGCTGGGCGTGGCATTGTTACGCGCGTGACAGCGTGGTTTTAGATTGGCTAGTCCTTCGGTCACAAGTTTGGTGAGAAGGGCTGGGGTCTGACGCCGATCGTTACAGCCAGTAGCCACTCCTTTGTTATGTGGGCTGTGTGCTTAGGGTCGTTGTCCTGTTGAAAGATGAACCATCGCCCCAGTCTAAGGTCCAGAGCACTCTGGAACAGGTTTTCATCAAGGATATCTCTGTACATTGCTGCATTCATCTTTCCTTCGATCCTGACTAGTCTCCCA